TGGTCCTGGATCTGCAGCTTTTGCTTCTTGAGCTTCCAGGCCATCTGAGCATTTCTTTTTCTGCTCTGGGTCAGGAAACCTGCTGGAGGCTGCCTGCTCTTGACGCAGGAAGGAGAGTGTCTGGCATCAGAGTGGATCTGACTTAAGGTGGGGCTAACCTATCAAAGATAATCCGTGGGGAACTTTTAACTTAGATAAGCTTATCTATTTACAAGATGCCCTGAAGCAGCAGTCCCCAACCTTTTTGGCACCAGGGACTGGTTTCGTGGAAAACAGTTCTTCCACTGATGAGGGAGGAGGGGGATGGTTCTGGGATGATTCAATTGCATTACAATTCATGTGCACTTTATTTTTTAGTTGGATTGTTATTGAGTTCTAAGAGCTCTGTATCTATTTTGGATAGTAACCCCTTACTGGATATATGATTTACAAATGTCTTCTCCCATTTGGTAGGTTGCCTTTTCATTTTGTTGATGGTTTCTTCCACTGTGCAGAAGTTCTTTGGCTTAATGAAGTTGCATTCATGTTTGTTGTTGTGGTGGTGGTTGTCACTGCCTTTGGAATCAGATCCAAAAAAAGATCACAAAGACAATGTCAAGCACCTCACTGCCTATGTTGTCTTCTAGGAGTTTCATGGCTTCTGGTATTACATTCAAATCTTTAATCCATTTTGAGTTAACTCTTGTGTATGGTATAAAATAGTGGTCCAGTTTTCCTAACACAATTTGCTAAAGAGACTGTCCCTTCCCCACTGTATATTCTTGTCATAAATTCACTAATATATAGTCTTGGGTTTATCTCTGAGCTCTTTATTCCGTTTCACTGATCTATGTGTCTGTTTTTATGCCAGTGCCATGATTACTACAGCTTTGTAGTACAGTTTGAAATCAGAAAGTATGATGCATCCAGCATTGTTCCTTTCTCAGTATTGCTTTGGCTCAGTATCTCAATATTAAGGATATTTTATGGTTCCATACAGATTTTAGTATTATGTGTTCTAAATATTTGTGAGAATGCCACTGAGATTTCAATGAGGATTGCATTGAATCTGTACATCATTTGGGGTAACATGGACATTTTTACAATATTATTTTTTTCCAATCCATTTGTGTCTTCTTCAGTTTCTTTCATCAATGTCTCACAGTTCTCAGTGTATGGATCTTTTGCCACCTGCCTTGGTTAAATCTGTTCCTATGCATTTTCTTCTTTCTGATGCAATTATAAACGAAATTATTTTCTTGATTTCTCTAATAGTTTGTTGGTAGTATTTAAGAACACAACAGGTTTTATACATTGATTTTTCTTAACCCTGAAACTTTACTAAATATGTGTATTAGTTCTAATGGTTTTCTGGTAGAGTCTTTAGGGTTTTCCATATACAAAATCATGTTGTTCACAATAATAATTTTACCTCTTCCTTTTCAACTTCATTGCTTTTTATTTCTTCTTCCTGACTAATTGCTCTAGCCAAGATTTTCAATACTGTGTTGAATAAAAGTGTCTAGAGTGGGCATTGTTGTCTTGTTCCTGATCTTAAAGGAAAAGCTTTCAGCTTTTTACACTGAGTATAATATTAGCTGTTGTTTTGTCATATATGGACTTTACTATATTGAGGTACATTCAATCTATACCCACTCTGTTGAGAATTTTTATCATAAATGGATGTTGAAATTTGTCAAGTGCCTTTTCTGTGTCTATTGAAATGATCATGATTTTTATCCTTCATTTTGTTAGTACCCATTGGTTGTTGAAACTTTCTCTCCCAGAACAGCTTTTCTTTTCTTGTTTGTCTGATTTTGTGTCCTGAGACCTTAGCTTTGGAACAATCAAAGCTAAGGGGGCCCCAAGATGTGACCAGGAAGAAATGAAGGGTAGAAATGCAGAAAGAAACGCCAGTGGCAACTCAAGTTCTACTGATTGTTGCTAGCTTTCAAGGCAACTGTCTGCATCTCTCTCTCAGCTGTGTTTTGGGAATGATTTGGGTCTTGGGAGGATAGTATCTTCTGCACTCTCCTTAGGAATGTCTCTTGCAGCTGAAGGGGAATGGACTTTGCCACCCCAAAATATGCCAGTTACACATGAGGATTATTTAGCTAAAGGCAACCAAGAACTGAGTAGACTCAGGAAAAGCTCTTTCCCTTCCCTTCCACTGCCTAATTTACACTGGAAAGAAGGCCTGTACCACAAAGAAAAGTATTATCAAAGATGGCATCTTGAAACAGGAGGGAAGGGGCTGGGAACAACTTTCAAAAGAATGACAAAGCTGGTGAGGATACAACATAAACTGTTCAGAACCAGTGAGGTACAAGATGGTGGAAGATGTGACTTTCAGTGGACTTTGAGCCTCATTATGTGTTCATTGTAAATATTAGCATATGCTGAATGATACAGCCACAGGTCCCATGACCATTCGGACGCCGATCATAAAAAGCCAGAGTGGTGGCCCAATTCCTGGAAATCCTCGTCCCTTCCCCCAAACTGTTGGAATAATCCTCCCACTTATTAGCCTATGAAATTACCCAGACCACAGAAACTAACCACCCCGTATTTCGGGGCCACTCTCGACCTTTGAGATAGACTACATTCTGTCTGTGGAATGTGTATCTCTCTAAATAAATTCATTTCTTATCTATCACTTTGCCTCTCATTGAATTCTTTCAGCAATGAGACATGAAGAACTCGAGCTTGTCTTAAGACAGGTGTGGGATTTCAATTGAAAGACAGTGGGTTTGAGTCCTAGCCTGCAGTCTCAAGACATAATCTGAGTTTTGGCTGGGTCTGAGTTCCATCTGAGGTGTGTGGTTTCAGTTTTACCTAAGAAACTTACGTGCTAACCAGGTAATTTTTGTTTTTGCAATATCTCTGCTTTCCTGTGAATTACCTTCCTCCCCTTTGTATCATCAGACCCCTACCCCTCTCCTTAGCTCTGGTGTTACATAGGATGTTGTTACCTGTCTGTCTTTTAAGATTTCATATCTTTATGGGGCTCCATAAATGTGTTTCTCCCATTATTCTCTCACATCAATTTAATTATTAGGCTAGCCAAAGAACCTAGAAGGGAAGAAGGTGGAAAATTTTCCAACCCTACATATCCAAGCAACTGTGCAATACTGCCAAGAATATTTGCTTTTTGTCTCAGCTGAAATCTGACAAGGTATTTGAAATAATTCTTTTTAAAGAATGGTCAGAAGTTGACCACGGTGGAAGCTGATATTCAGAACCTGACATGAGTTTTTTTCCCCAAGGCTTTCTCCTTTAAGCTAAAATGAAACCATATACCCAGAGCAGGGAAAAACCTTCTGAAGCCTTCGTGGAAGGGTTACTAAAACATTCTCACGACACATAGCTCTAAATCTAGGACAAGGGAATCTTCTGACTTCCATCTTAGTTGAGAATCTTCTCCCTGATATAAAGAAGCAAACTGAGGATAATGTAGTTGGGTGAGGAGGGCAATTTCCATATCATTCAGGTGGGCCCAATCCTTTGAGGAATTAAAAATTGTACTTTTTTTTACAAATCTGGTCTTCACAACATCAGACATGTGGCTCCAGAAACAATTCAAAGCCCACCTATTATTTTTTACCAAGTCCCAAACATTCCCTATTGATCTCAGAAACCTTGCAGATATTTACAAAATCTTTGAACTTAGCAAACAAAAGCCATTTGTGGTGGGACTTGAATTTTTCTCTGTGCCTTTTGAGATGTGAGTTTCCTCCAGTTGGGTCGAGTGAGTCTCCGCTTTCAGAGTTCAATCTGAGAGAGGAAGTCCCACGGACCAACCATCTCCGTGTATGGCACTATATTCACACGAGGGGCAATTTCGCTTAACTGAGGGTTCAGGGGAGATTTTGGAAGGAGGAGGTGACCAGGTTTATCACCATTTTGTCCCCACTTGTGTGACATAGGTGGACTGGGATATAACGATTCATCATCGTCATAAGTGATCACCAACATTTACTGGCGTTTGCTGGGCACCAGGTCTTGTGCTCAGAACAGACTAGAGCGATGAGAGCCATCTGAACTGGCTCCCCAGGGATTCTCTGACATTATCTCCCATCCCTCTGCGTCACCACACTGGCCTCCTCCAGATGTTCCTCCAACAGAGCAAACTCAGCTACCCTCCCCCACTCCCCCCAAACACTCAGCCGGTGCACACGCAGTCCTTGCTGCCCAGGGCACCCTCCCTCATCTGGCCCACTTCCTCACTGAGATCTTCCCCCACCTGCTATTTAAAATCCAGGGCCTACAGCAGTGCCTGGTGCACAAGCAGATGTTTAGCAAATGCTTATTAAACCCACACGTGCTTGGTAAGTAGCAACTGGGTCCCCGAGGCCAGCCTCCTGAGCAGCTGATATCCTTAACGGCTCTGCGGTCTGAGAAGACTGCGGAAAGGACACCCCAGACGAGGACACAGCAGGGCAGAGGCCCTGAGATGACAAAGTGCTGGGAGAAGGGTGGAAAATCATCTTTGCGGCTAGAAGCGCACATGTGAGGGAAGTGAGAGGTGAGGCCCGGGAGGAAGCTGCGGGGGAATGCAGCGGCTCTGCAGGCTGGGATTGTGCTCTGAAACCCCCACATGGCGCAGTGGTAAAGAATCCCACCGCTGCACAAGACTCCCTGGATCCCTGGGTGGGGAAGATCCCCTGGTTTGCCTGGAAAACCCCATGGACAGAAGAGCCTGGTAGGCTCCAGCTCATGGGGCTGCAGAGTCGGACATGACTGAGCACACATCTTAGCCCTTACGGGTAAAATTCAGGAATCTGAGATGAGGCCATGGAAATGGAGTGGCCTGGACCCTCAGGCAGACGCTGAGGCGGCCCGAGCCCGCCACGGGACTGGTGGGCGGAGTCCATCGAGGCCCCGCCCAGGCTGCCTGGCCGCCCCATCCCCTCCGGCGGAGAGAGGGGGGGTTCACGATCCCGACCCCGACCCCGACCCTCAAAGACCCCGGAGCACAGACTGAGCCCGCGGAGGAGAAGCACGGTCCGCAAACGTGGCCTTTATTCCCGGGCGAGCTTGAAGGAAGGTGGGGCCGGGTGGGGCGTCGGGACCAGCTCCGTCGGCGGCGCCAGGTCGCCCTCACTGGGGAGCTGGGGGCCGACCTGCTGGGGCGGGGGTCGGTAGTCAGGCCTGCTGGGAGGGGGAGCGGGGGGCAGGCCTGCTGGGGCGGGCCCGGTCCCCACCCCCGAGGACGCCTTGCGTCCGCACTCGCGCCTCCCGCAGGGACCCCGGGCGCGCTGTCACGGCGCGCCTGCCGGCTCTCTACCTCTTCAGCGCCGGCCCGGTCCTCTGGGGTGCTCTGGGTCTGGGCGGGGGCCTCTTCCCCGAGTTTCTCTGGCTCCGCCTTCAGCCTGCGGGGAAGGGGCGCTGAGGACCCCCGGGAGCCTGCCGGGAGGCCCGGGTGGGGGGGGAGCCCCGCCCTCCCGGGAGACGGCGCTGGGGGCGGGCCTCGGCCCCTCCCCGCCTCCCTGGCCCTCTCACCCGCCGATCACCGCCCGGGCGGCGGGGGCCTCGGGCGGCGCGAGCAGCCGCCGCTCCACGTCCTCCAGCCGGGCCAGCGCCTGCCTCTCTGGGGGCGGGCGGGGCGTCGTGGGCGGTGCCAGGGCTCCCGCTGGCCGCCCCGGCCCCGCCCCCGCCCCCGCCCCGCCCAGGGCCCAGGTCCCACCTTCGGTGAGCAGCTGCTCCTGGCTGCTCTGCAGGGCACGGATCTCCCAGGCCAGTCGCCGCTTCAGCATCTGCGAAGAGAGAGAGGAGCCCTGTCCCTGCAGCTCTCCTCCTGGCCCCCTCCTCCTCCGCGCCTCTCGGAAAGTCCTCATCCGAATTAGTGGGTTCATGCCTTCATTCAGCTACCCATTCATTCTGTTTGCAGCTTCTGCTGGGGCCGGGGGTGGCTCGGGTAGAGCCCCTCTCCCCCTCAGTCACTCCCCAGGTCCCCGTGTGCCTCTTAAACCTCACCTCTTCCCACTCTTTCATCCTCCAGCCCCACTGTTCGCTCTTCCTCAAATACACCAGGCATGGTTCCCTCCCAGGGACATTTGCTCTCTGACACCTGCATGGCTTCCTCGCTTATTAATACGTGTCTGTGTTCAGATGACACCTGCTCGCAGAGGACTTCCCCACTGGCGTTACAGGATCTATCGACTTGTTTTCTTGTTTTAGACTCTGGGCATGCCTCCCCGTTCCCCTAACCAGCTTGGGGACCTCTAAGACTTGGCCCCTCTGGAGTGCCGCTGGACACATCCAGAGACACTGGCTGAACGAAAGGATGACCTGGCCTTGTCTGGATTGGGGTTCCCATTTGCCACTGCAGGATGAGCACTCTAGGCAAGCAGGAGGGGTGCGAGGTTAGCAAAGGCCAGGGCAACAGTCTGGGCAACGGAGGCTGAGTGCGGCAGCGGGGGTTGGTGAGAGGTGGCTGGGTGGGCTGAGCTGAGCCGGTGACAGGAAGAGAGGAGTCAAGGACCACCCCTTGGCATTGGGCCTGAGCAGCAGAGATGCTGGAGCCAGGGGAGGAGGGGCTCCAACAGAGGCAATGATAATGGCTCACGTGGAATTCCCAGAGGTCCTTGTGCGGGCCTATCAAGTCCTCCAGCTGTTCTTCCATGGGCAACCTAGGGGCCGACATCCAAGAATAAGCAAACACAGGGTAGGACTGACCAACCCCCACTGCCGCTTCAGATCTGGGCCTGGGGCTCCCTCTGCTAGGAGCCCCTTCAAGGGTTTTATCCTCCAAGCCTTGCTTCCAACAGCCCGCCTTGCAACAAGCTTGCCTTCCAACAAGCTCTCCCTCAGGCAAGCCCCACTCCCATCCCCCACACCAGGCCACTCCAAGCACTAGACCCAGGGTCACCCCAGGGTTACCCCAGCTTCCTCTGTCCTTGACTCTCTGTGACCTGAGAGTTTTGGATAGAAATTTGCTCTGTGTGTTCTGCCAACACGTAGTTCCTGGGAAAGGAAAGAAAACCCTCAGTTACAGCCTCTGAATGAGCCACCAAGCCTTCTATCCGGAGTGGGGTTGGGAGTCTGTTCAGAACCTTTATCATTCTCCTTTTTTTAAATCAAATGGGAACCTTGTGAGCCTTTCTTGACACTCTTACCCTGTCCATTCTGTCTCCCATCAAACCGTGCCTTTCCAAGAAATCCCTGTGAAGGGTACATTGGTTTAGTTTCACAGATTCTAAAGTTCAGGGTTGAAGCCTGGATCTGCTATTCCACTATAATCTTATACAAGTTATTCAGCCTCTGTGGGTCTGTTTCCTCACATGTAAAATGGTGGGACTGTCATTGTGAGGACTGGTTGATAACTGAACACTATCTGCTCCTCAGACAGTGGTAGGTGTGGTGTGATTAAGCATATATACACTTTAACTATCTGTCGTCAGGTTTTCCCATGTTATTAAAATCTTGATGCCCGAGGGTGTGAGACCCCTGGTCACAAGAATGTGTTAAGCAAAGGTTCAAAGGATGGAGAGATAGATGGATAGATGGCTAGACAGCGAATTGAATAGGTGAGTGATAGGCTGGAGAGATGATGTCTGGTTAGAGAAATGATGAGTGGAAGGATAATGGATGGATGCAGAAATATAGGAAAGACTGACAGAAGGATAGATAGCTGGATGGATAGATGGCTGGGTAAAGAAATGAATGCCTACATGGATGACTGGAAAGGTGGAGAAAAGAATGGTTGGATGGATGAAAGATGATTAGATGAAAGGCTGGAGAGATTAATGGCTATCTGGCTGGCTGAAGAGTTGGATAGTTGGTTGGATGTATGGGAGAGTGGATGGATGGGTCGGTAGATGGATGGGTGTGTAAATGGGTGGCTGGGGGCAAACATGAGCAGACAGATAAACAAATGAAAGGATGGCAAAAGAGCTGGATAAACCATAGAGGAAGACCTAAAATAATACCAGTGGATGGAATTTAGTATCCACTTGATAAACTAGCAATGAATGATTAAATGAGTTCATCTTAACGCCACCACTTATCAAAGATGAGCAGGCAAGGCTCACTCGATTTTATAAAAAGGGAAAATGAGTGTGTGTCCAAGATTTCTTTTCCCTAGCTCTTGCCCCCTCCTCTCTCAGGCTGGGAAATGAGGCAGGGAGAGCTGGGCGGGACCTCTTACCTCTGTGCCTCCTCCGCCTTCCTTTGGCAATACAGCTGGAGGGTCCTCAGGGCCTCTGGGGGGAGAGGGACCAGGGGGCTCTGAGAAGTCAGATGGGGCAGAAGGGGCCTCACAGCACGCTGGGCATTGGGGGCACTGAGGGGACTTCAGTGTTTACTCCAAGTCAGAAGGCAGCTGAGGGGCAGATCTGAGCAGAGAGGGAAGCACCCCACCTCTGATCTCAGGGGGATTCCTCTGGCTGCCTGAGAACTTCAGGCTTTTGTAGGGGGACCGGGTAGAATGATAAGGATGAAGCAGCTGGTAAATACCTTGCTTTCTGCTCAGAACCTCCTCCAGGTGCACTTTCTCTCCACTCACTGGAAAACACAGGGACACTCTGAGTCTCCGGGGCCTCATCCTCTGCCCAGACTGCACCTTCATGCGGGGGAAGGCCCCAGGTCACACAGAAGGTCCAGCCCCCTCAGGGGAGGGCAGTGTCTGCTCGCAGGCCCTGCACCCACCTCCCGCTGGGGACCATCTTGGTCCAGCTTTCCCCCCTGGGAGTCCACACGCCCTGTGAAGGGGTGAAGGACTGCAGGGCTCCCTTGTGTAGCATGTGCACAATAGAATGTGGAGAGGATGAGAAATTGCAAAAGTACACCATGATAAGCGGGAATAAAGGCTGTGAAGAAATAAATCAAGCTGTGGGGGGTGTGTGAGATGAGGTGGTATTCGATGTTTAGAGGGGGCTGACAAGGGAGACCTGCTGGGGTGAAGTTTCAACTGAGAACTTGAAAGGTGACTAAAACCAGCCCGAGGCAATGTGGGTTATGTAGGACGAAAGCCTCCGAGTGAGGAGCAGCCTGTGCAAAGACCCTGAGGTCAGCACTGGCCACGAGCTCTCTGCGCCCTTCTGCTGGTCTCACGTACAGGAGTCCAGGTCCTGACGTAGGGCCTCCCAAAGAGCTTGGCCTCCTCCCAGTTCCTCACTGGATCTCTCCTTCGCTGGGCCGGAGAGAAAGGAAGAAGACAGGGTGTGAGGGTGGCCTCCAGCCTTGCTGTGTTCTCCCGCAGACCCACCTTCAGACAATCCAGAGGGGCCTGGATCTTACAGGTGGTGCAGTGGAGGCTTCCCCAGCCCATGCCCCTCTTGGCCAGCGGGCCATCTTAGATCCCGGAGTTTACCTTGCTGAAGCTCATGAATCCGGTTAATCAGGTCTTCAATCTGTGGCTCCAGGCTTCCTTCTGCAGAAGGAAAGAAAGACTGAGCCAGAGACGGCAGGTGCCTGGCTGTCCTGGGCAGAAGGAGTGGGGTGGGTGTTGGCACTGTGTCTCTGCTGCTGTTGATCAGCATTTACGGAGCACATGAGAGAAACCCTAGTAGGGCCTGCGTTCTGGGTGGGAGAGATGGACACTGAGCAAAGATTCGAGATGTCAGTGCTGGTGGCAGTGGATGCTGCGAAAGGAAATAAAGTGGAACAAAGGGCTGAAGAGTGAAAGAAGATGCCTCTTGAGATATGGAGAGGCCCCAAATGATGTGGAGGAAGGAACCCTGTGGTTCTGGGGTGCAGGGCGTAGGGAGCGTGGAGGGGGGAACATGCCAGCCAGAAAGACCATGTATGCAGAGCCCCTGCAGTGACTGAGACATACGCCTAAAACATACGCCAAGGGGTCTGGGATGGCTGGTATGAGTCTAGTGAGCGAGCGGACAGGTAACAGGAGGCAAGGTGGAGACGTGGGGGTGGCAGATGGTTCAGGGCCTTCTGGCAGAAACTTGTGTGTGTAATTCTGAATGAGGTGGGAGGCAGTGGACACCTCCTGAAAACTAATGCCCCACCACATGGAAAGCCTAGCAGGGTGGGTTGTCGCTTCTGCGTATCCGGACTCTGATGTTGAAATATGAGGAAGATGCCACTTGCATTTTCACAGCGATCAAATTCTCCAATGACAGGGAGATCACTGTCTCTTTAGGGAGTCATCTCTAACTTCGCACAGTCCAAATTTCAGTGCTCCGAATGTGGAAGCCCTCCTCGTCCTCTCTGGCTTCAAGGTTGAAAGCACAGAATTAAGGGGAAAATCTGCCCAACCTTTGCTGGTGTCACTACCACCCCAAGACATCCTGAAGTTCAGTTTCTGGATTTTTTGGAGGCCACCATCCCCAGCTCCTGTGACTTCTTAGAGACTGAGTGCTCTCTGAGGTGCTGATTAGGACGTGACTCCCCAAGGTCTTCATTTTACCGGGGATGGTTAGGGTCACTCTGCATTTTCAATCCCCAATTCCTCTACCTAATTTTAGCCTGGGCATCAGCTGCAATGCTGTAGCCACACAGTCAGGGCACGGAAGGTGTTCATTTATTTGGAACAGACCAGTGGATTGTAGTATTTTAAGCTGCTGACGGACGAGAGGAGAGGGAGATCCAACCTCAAACCCAGCCTGAACTCTGCCCCAGCCCTGATGTAGGTACTGGATGTAGGCTGGCTCCCAGTCTCCCATCAACAAGCAAAGCCAGATGCAAAGCTGTTTGTGCTGCCAGCTTCCATTTGCATATAAAAAAGGACAAAGAATATACACCCAAAATGGAATTTTCTTAAATCTCCAGAAAAATACCAGAGAATTTAAAAATAGTTGCTGCTGGCCTATGGGTCAGGGAAATGGATGGCTGTGTGTGTGTGTGTGTGTGTGTGTGTGTATGCACACATGCATTTGTGTGTTGGGGAGTAGCTTATATGTCTTGAATTTCGAAGCTGTGCTTTAGGTTGAAAGAAGTAGTATAAGAGGGAGAAAGTGCAATGGGATAATTTCCCAAGGTTGTGAGTTGAGGGGTTGGAGATTGGACCACATCTTCCTGTCTTAAAACCTCTTTGGGCTAAGCCTCAGACACAAGGAGACACATGACCTTTCTGCAGCTTTTTCACCATTTCCAGCAAGTCTTTGGTCTTCTCTGAAGACTCGGTCTGACCTGTAGAATGAAAACCAGAATTACAGCGTGCAGTGAGAGTGACAGGCGACTGAGGAAATGGCCACACTTGTCTGGGAAGGGAGGAAGAAAGTCTCAGCAGGTTCTGAGAATACCCCTGGCTGAACCAAGGCTCGGCCAAGGGGCAGCCCTCCAGCCAGAGCAGGGTCCCTACAGGACCCCTGTCTTTTGTCTCTGAGGCTGAGGGAGTGCGGTGGGTGAATCAGAACCTCTACTGGTCCGTTCTCCCCAGGAGGGCACGGAACACCACCCTTAGCAAAACTCAGGGGTGAGAGAAGATGAGGCACTTTTGTTGCTGTTTTTCTCAACCAGCATGAAGTTGCAGGCAATGCGACAGGACAGAATGATTTCATATAAATTTCTTTCCAATAACTGTAGGCCACAATTTGCAAATTCTGAAAGAAGCAAAGGGTTTAGGACATGGCTGCTAACATCCACAAAAGATACCTGGATATTGTGAGCCTCCTGATGAAACAACACACCACTGTGAAGGACTCTGCTCCCTGTCCCCGACCCCAACCAAGAAAAAAGAAAAAGGAATACTATCAGGTTTCCGTTGTTCTAAATACCAATTCAGAGGAAATATGAGGAATAGGAAAACATGTTAAATAACACAATGGGGATGAAGTCAGCATCATCCAGATGCTGGGAAATTCCACACCCAGGATAACCTGGTTTCTTCAACAAATAAACTGCAAAGAAGGAAAAGAGGGGAAGAGGAAACTATAGATTAAGAGATGAGACATATAGCAATCAACTCTAATGAAAACAGACTTTATTTAGGTCTTGATTCAAATGTAATTTTGCCACATATATTTCTAGGTACTTTTTAAAGTGAGCCTGTGTTACTTATAACAACAGAAAGAGCAAAAATACCAACATCTTAAACTGTTGTAAAATCAGTGACAAAGGGGCAACTCCCAGTGACTCATTGTTTGCTCTCCAAGAAAAATTAAGCAGAGAAGATGAAAAGAAGCTCACAAAACATATATGGTAGCCAAAGAGTAAATGAAGAAATGCTTACCTACTTTGGTATACAGTGAAAAGTCCCTCCCTCAAGACCTAAGTTCCTCAGTTACCCTCTGCAAGGCCACCTGCATGACAGGCTATTTGTGTATACTCATTCAAATCACATACAAGCATATGCCCACTTTTCTGATAAAGATGGTGTCATGTCCTAAATGGCATTTCACAGTTTATATCTTTCCTTTTTATTTACAAAATATTTATTTGTTTGACTGCATCGGTTCTTGTGGCACACAGGATCTTCAATCTTCATTGCAGCATTTGCGATCTTTAGTTATGGCATGTGGCATCTGCTTTTTAAGTTGTGGCATGCAGGATCTTCAGTTGCAGCATGTCAACTCTTAGCTGCGGCACATGGGATCTAGTTCCCTGTCTAGGGATCGACTGAACGTGGGCCCCCTGCGTTGGGAACATGCAGACTTAGCCAGTAGACCACCAGAGAAGTCCCTGCATTTTTCCATTTGATAATATATATACTAATGATCTTTTAAAGTTGTCCCCTATTGATGGACACTTAGGTTGCTGCTTTCGCTGTTACAAATAATGCCACAGTGACTATCTGTGTTAGTTTTCTTGAGAAGCCATAATAGTACCTCTACGTGGGTCTTTCTTTTGTGTCTTTCACCTTAAATTCTATCTTTGTATGTCCAAATTTCCCTCTTCTTATACTGACACCAGTTATTAGATTAGGGTACACCCTTATTCTGCACGGCGCTTAACACAGTCTCAAAAACTCTTGTTTCCAAATAAGGTCACATACTGAAGTTCGAGTGGACATGAATTTTAAGGGGACACATTTCAATCTAATGTAAGATCCTGGTACATTCTTCTTTATGCATGCATGGGAATGTTACTGAATGAATTCCTAGAAGACTACTGGATGGATCAAGGGGCATGTATGTTACTAAATCTGGTATTTTAAAGTTGCCCTCCCCCTAGAGGCCCATGAAGACTCCTTCCTCACACTCTTATCATTCAAATATTTTTTCAACCTTTGTCACTTTTGCCAATCGTATAGGCAAAAACAGTATTTCATTTCAAACTTTCTGGTAGTAAATATCAAAAACTTACTCAACTCCTCTGGATCAGAAATTCCACCTCAAGGCAAGGAAATAATTTTAGGAAATAATTAAGGATGGTGGGCAAGACTGTTTCATTGTCCATAATCTTAAAATATGGAGGCAACTTAAAGATACCTTAGTTGATTACAGCACCTTCATAGGCTAAAATTCTTTGCAGCCATTAAAACTCATGCTGTAAATCAGGGGCTGTTAACCTGAGCTTATTAAATTTTGCTGAAATATTTGGTATTATGTTCACTTTCTTTACATCCTTTTTCCTTATATTAGATGTATTCATTTAATTTTGCATTTGAATTTTTAAATTACTTAATAAACAACTGAAGAAGAACAAGGAGTAAAAAGTAAAAGTCTCCTCTCACCAATAGTCCGTTATCCAAGTCACTCCAAGTTTGGGGAAGACACTTAGAGCTTGGTAAGAACTATTGCATCTATTGCTTTAATTTTCACTTACCCAAATGACATTCTAAAAACATTCAAGCACTACAGAAATATGTAAAATTAAATGCAACTCCCTTCTCTTCTTAGCTCTAAATCTTATTGTCTTTCTTTGGTTTCACTGGTTGGTATGTCTCCTCTGGATACTCTTAAGTTCTTCAAATACTCTTAGTATTTGGAATAAAACAACAACAAAAAAATTAAATCTACTTTAATAATAAAGGGAGGTGTTTGTGATTACTTGTTTTTAATATTATGAGGATTTCCAAATGCACATGAAATTAGATAGGATACCATGATGAACTCTGGTTTACTCATTGCCCAGATCTAACAATTATTAATATCCACTGATATTTGCTTCAGCTCTTGTGTGTGCGCTGAAATATTTTCAAGTAGGTCCCAGACTTCATGACATTTCATCCCTAGATGAAATTAATTAAGAGTCTCAAAAAAACAGTCTCAACTACTAGAAGACATTTTCTTAGATGACTGAAGTTCTAGAGTCTCACCAAGATTAACAATCATCACTAATCATTGGATCATTTATATCACCAAATACCCACAACACATGTGGTTTCCCATGATTGTCCCCATATGTCTCTCACAGCTGGCTTGTTCAACCATTTCTGGGAAAGCTCCATTTTTCCTCTCCACTGCATTTCTAGTCCTAGTCACGCCGTAAGATCATGAGTGATCGGTAAATCCTAGTCATGCAGTAAGATCATGAGTGATCAGTAAATCTTTTAAATAGTTCAAGTAACATCTTGACAAAAATTTTAAAAAATCAATGTGACAAAACAAAATAGCCTATGGAGTATAAGCCCCTTTGAAACCTTTGATTTTGAAATAATTTCAGACGTACATGAAAACTGCAGAAATAGGCCACAGTGCTATCTGCCCCTGTATCAGATTCCACATTTGGGAGCATTTCTGCACACAAATTGCAGGCATCATAACCCACTATTTATTAATACTCCAGTACATATTTCTAATTTATAAGGGAACTCTACCAGTATAACCATCAAAATAGAGATGTTAATAACTTGACCAATATTAATGTACAATCCCCAGATGCCATTCAACAGTTTTTCCTCTTATATTTTAAAGTTATTCAGTACTACTGGCATTTTCCTTTAAAATTTAAAAAAATGCTTTCACTTCTGTACAACCTCCAAAATTCAAGTCCCTGTTCAGAGTCACCAGTTAGGCCTTTAGCCTTCAGACATTTTTCTATGTAACACACATAGAGCTATAATTGTATAACTGAACTGCCTCTTTTTCTTAATTCCAACTTGCTTTCCCTCATAAGAATATGATCCCTATGACGCTTACTCTGTGTTAATGAATCACGGTGTTCGCCCATTTTTTTTTTGGCCGTGCTGCACGGCTTGCATAATCTTAGTTCCCCAACTAAGGACTGAACCGTAGCCACAACAGTTAAAGTGCTGAGTCCTAATTCACTGGACTGTCAGGGAATTCATATAATCTCCTTTCAAAATTAACTGTAATGAATCAAATTGAAATTTATTTTTTCCTGCCTCTTAAAAAAAAGATGTCCACCACATAGGCATTCCATAATGCGTGAGTATACTTAAAGTTAGCCATTTCCATGATTGTTTCTGCATTTTGCTGCCATCAACATTCCAATGACCCTGCCTGGTCCACACATCTGTATATTCCATGATTCTCAAGCATGGTGACCAAAGATCAGAAATAGAGTTTTAGATGCTTTGCGTATTCTGACAAACTATCTCCAGCAAAGCCTTTGCTGGCCACTTCTACTATCAAGGCAAAAGTCCTGTTCTGCCAGAGTAATCAATAGCAGATATTTTTCCTGTTCTAAAGCCAATTTGGATGGTTTAGAAATGGCAACTTGATATGCTTTTCAATTTTTTCCATTGCTGGTGAAGTTAATCATAATTTCCTCTTTTAAAAAATAATACTAGGGTTTTTTTCCTCCACAGTGGCAACTATACTGTGCTTAATAAGGGCAATTTATTGGCATCTTCTTATTGAAAGCTTGCACTCAACATGAGGCCATAATCTAAGAGAACTCTCAGTGTTATTTCATTATTCATACAATAAAAAAAGAAAATTACTGAGCACCTACTTTTGCCAAGTAGGCAGTTTTAGGTGCTGGGGAGATGGTAATGAATGGTCTGTTCTCAAAAAGCTCACATCCTAGGACAGACAATATTCAAGTACATAATCATTGTTGTCATCTGCACAGATATGTTTGGAAAGATGTAATCCAAAGTGTTTATTATCAGTAAGGTGGTCTAAAGAGTGTGTAGGAAGGTCAGAGATAGATGAAAGGAGGGCAAAGAGTTGACAACTCTTAATACACAGTGACTGGTACATGGGCATTCATTACATTTTCTGTGCTTAGGTACATTTTGAAAATGTTTATAGTTTAAAAAAAGTGCTAGTGGCATAGTGGGGGATCATTGTCTTAGACAATTTTCTTCTTTTGCCTAGACTGCAATTTCCAACTCCCTCTAGAACAATTTTGTCTTTACCCTCACTCGGGTGGTGGCGTCATTATTAACAAAATGCCAGGGAGAAAAGCAGCTCTCTTGAGAGTGGCCATCCACGATTAAGATTTAAGAGTCCATGCAGTGTGGCATGTGCTGGGAGGGTGTGAAATGATGATATTGGAATTACTGTTAAGTTTTCTTAGATATGGCAGCAGTTGAGTGGGTTTTGTGAGATCATCCGCCCCTTGTTTGAAAAGATGAATACTGAGGTATTCGATCTATTTAACACAAGTATAACCAATAAAATTGACAAGTTAATCTAGATGCTGAGGCTACACATGTTATTTATCTCCACTTTGCGGTAAAGCAGTTTTTAATTTTTTTTTGTAGTACTGGTACCAGTATTTCATTGTTGTAAGGAGACAATGGGCTTCCCTGGTGGCTCAGGCGGCAAAGCATTCACCTGCAATGCAGATCCCAGTTTCCTCCCTGGGTTGGGACGATCCCTTAGAGAAGGCAACCCACTCCAGTATTCTTGCCTGGAAATCCCCTGAACGAAGGAGTCTGGAGGGCTACAGTCCATGGGGTTGCAAACTCGGGACACGACGGAGTGACTACGCACTGCACTAGGGCAAGGGGACGAAGGTTCCCTCCCTTCGACCCTGGATGCCAGAGGCCCCTTGCCGTCACTACCTTCACCGTCCTCCACGACTTCCTGCGACTTCACTTCCCGAGGCTCCAGCTTCCCCGCCATTTTCCAGCACGCAGCTGATACGCGTGCGCTTTGGTGATTGGCTTTAAAAAAAAAGAAAAACAATACCACGCGAGGGCAGAAAGGCGGTATAGCATGCACGCGTCCAGTGCGCATGCGTCCAGTGCGTCTCTGCGCATCGGTTGACCCATCAGTTGAAGAGCGACGGGTGATCAGCTCAGCGAAGTGGGCCACCCAGAGATCTCTGAGCGACAGCGCGCATGCGTGCAGCACGCGGCTCCAAGCTCCAGCTTAGCGAAACCCGAGGCAGGACTACGGTCTTGGTTGTTGGGGTGTTGAGTGTTGCACACACACGTAGAAATTACAGGCAGGTCTTGCTGTCTCCCTCTCATCTTTGCTTGGGTTGTGTGGCTTGTGAAAGTCTGGGACGACTGTGCAGGTGCTGGGCGGTGGTAGGCAAGTGGTGCAGTCCCCTTTCGTTCACAAATCCTCCTTTAACAGCTTATGAGCGGTTAGTTATCTCCAGCTCATGAATGAATAGAATGGGCCGTGGAAGCTAAGTGAATCTGTGTAAAAATTCTGGATCTCAGTCACTGTGTGAAGTCAGGTACTTTGCCCCGGGTTACATACGCAGGTAGACGCTGGAGGTCACCTTCTTATTAATATTAGCAGCAGCCAACACTGATGGGGTCATTTTTTACTGGGTAAAGATGAAGCACATGAAGGGCAAAGGAATGTCCTTGTGGATATCGGTTTTAGGCCTTTTATGTGCAGTTCTCTTTTCTTTTAAAATATCCTCAGGCCATTTCAGAGCACAGACTTGGTCCTACATTTCCAATTCCAGAACTGCTGTGGGCCACCAAGGGAGACCTTGGCCAGCCCTAGACACTCTGGGCTGAGATCCCAGGGAGGAGACAGGCCCCTGACGCAGGACCGAGCGTGTGATGTCCAGGAAAGGAGGAGACGGTCCCTGACAGAGGCGGGAACACCATCCAGGTGGAGGAGATGAAGGCAGAGGGAGGGGGAGACGGAGTCTTAAGGATTTCCCCAGAGGTGGAGGGGCACCAGGGAGATAGGGACCGGCCACAGGACACGGCAACCCACCCGGGTATTCTTGCCTGGGAAACGCCATGGACAGAGGAGCCTGGTGGGCTACAGTCGGTGGGGTTGCAAAAGACCTGGACGTGACTGAATGAGCACACACAGACATGCTACCGCCACCAACTCCCCAACCCTGCCCCGTTTCCAGGGTGAAGACAGAAGGTAAAAGCCCAAAGTGGTGGTTCTCAGCACTGCCCAGTCTGGGAGCTCTGCATCTCAAGGGCCAGTAAACAAGCCATTGTGGGAAGCTTGGTCCGTGGAGGCCACTGGGGCTGCTGGGGGTGTGGAGTACTTGGGTGGGTAACGAATGAAGAGCCGATCCTCCTCTTTCTTCACCCAACGTAGGAGTTTGGTCACTGCGAGGATGGCACCTGCCTTGGTCACCAGGGGGCTGAGGCAGGTATACAGCTCAAATTTGGAGGTCACCTGCGGGGTTGAGAGGAGAGATAGTCAGTTGGTCCCGGGCTGGCCAAGCTCAGTACTGTCCATCCTACCCTAGCCCCATACCTGCCTCCTGTTTGGAAAATGCACCTGGTAGCAGCTCCAACCTGGTCACTGGGCTAAAGCAGGTAAGCGGATGCTACTGTATCATGACTAGGCCGGGGGATCAGCTAGATCTAGTGGTTTCAACTGGGTGGTGTGTGTGTGTGTGTGTGTGTGTAGATCTAGTGGTTTCAACTGGGTGGGGGGTGTGTGTGTGTATGGTGTGTAGATCTAGTGGTTTCAACTGGGTGGGGTGTGTGTGTGTGTGTGTGTGTGTGTGTGTGTGTAGATCTAGTAGTTTCAACTGGGTGGTGTGTGTGTGTGTGTGTGTGTGTGTGTGTGTACACACTCTCTGGACCTCAGTTCACTCATCTGTGGACTGGAGACAGTGACAGCAGTGCTTAACATTTAATGAGTAATTGTTGTATACAAAGTCCTGTTTTAAGTTCCACACATTTATGTTTTTATCATCTGTAGGCTGGGTGTAATATGAGGATTAATTCAACTTAATCTTCACACCAACCTGAGAGGCTTAACCGGATCCGTCACCAGCACCGTTCCACAGCCCCTCTTCGTTCTCCCCCTCGCTCCTGCTCCAGCCACTCTAGCCCCTGCCTGCTGTTCCTCAGACACAGCCAGGCTCACCTCGCCTCATGGCACTCACACAGTCCTTTCCCTCTGCCAAGCGTGCTGTTCCTCGCGATACCCACATGCCCTGTGACCTCCCCTTGCACTTAGATGGCATTTCCTGACCACCCGATTTAAAATCCTGGGACCACCCGATCTTGGCATTGAAATACTATCCTCTACTAAAAGGTTCAAGGACCCCCTGGACAGATGGTGGATTTCAGGACAGGCACAGAGAAAGCACAAAATAAGCTTGGACTATCTTAGGCCAGAAAGTAAGAAGTACTTAAGCAGTGATACAGATGTGTCAAAAAGACACCGGGGGAGGACTTCCTGGCGGTCCAGTGGTTCATACTCCACCACAGGGAACAAGGGTTTGATCCCTGGTCAGGGAACTAAGATCCCACATGCCCACAGAGAGCAGTCAAAAAATTTATTTAAAGAAAAAAAAAAGTAAAAAGATATAGGGGCCAGTCTTCCTAATCCAGGGCTTCCACTGACTAAATAAGAGAGAGTTTGAGCACAAAAATAAAAGACAGGAAAAGATTCTAGCTCACTGAATTCAAGAAAAATCCATGATATGCAATTTAAAATTCAACAAATAAACAGGAGCAGGGAAAGCTCTTCCATACAGCATAATTTCGACCAATAAACATAGACGTTAGGATGAAATGAGAAAAATCACCATATGGTAAATGCCAGAGAAACAGCTGTCACAGGCAAAAATCATTAATGGATATTAAAATTAGTGGATGAAAATATAGTGAAAAAGAGAACACTGACCTAATCACCACAAGATACTGACTAATTACAAATGGTGAAAAGGCTGACTACAAAGTGGAGAAACCTGGCAGATACCACCTTAATGAAGTGAACAGAAGTCGTGTCAACAGTGGGACACAGTGATGTTGTGGTCCTCCTGATCTGACACAGAGGACACAGCATCACTCCTGAGAGAGGCTTGCTCAAGATGCGTGACCTGACACAACATTATTAGAAGAAAACAACTTGACGGGCATTCTACAAACTAACTGGATGGTACTTCTAAAAATTCCCAGGTCGTGAAAGACAAAAAAGACCAAGGGAATGTTCCAGAATAAATGAGACTAGGATGACACAATCAATCTGAACATGTGCTCCTGGACTGGATCCTGGGCCAGTGAAAGGACATGAGTGGGACGACTGGTGAAGTCTGAATGAAGCTGGTGGATAAGTTGTGATTGCACTGATGTTAATTCCCTGATTTTGATGAGTTCCTCTGATTATGTTAACATCTGGAGAAACTAGGTCAAAGACCTACTTCACATAATTTTTTGCAACTTCTTTATGAGTTTAAAGTTGCTTGAAAATGAAAACAAAAAAAAAATTTTAATAAAATTCTCAGCCTAGAATGCCTGATACATAACAGACATGCAATAGATGAGTTTAAAAATGTGCACTAAATGTCAGAATCTAAGGAAAGTGCCATCTCCAACGGAGTCACATTGACCAAACCCCCTGCATAGCTGACTTTTAATAGAAGTGTGGACAGCAGCCCTGAAGAGACCCCGGGGAAGGATACCCCAAGTGGAAGGTACAGAATGGAACCAAGCCTGTAGTGCTCAAGTGCTGGGGACTCTCAGAGTCAAAGCTCAACCGGTTCCCACGGCCACAGAGGGTGGGGCTGATGTGAAATTGACAGGCAAAGTGATCATAGTTAATGGGACCCCTTGAGAGGGGAAGACACTCTACTGGTGGTTAATGAGGGAATGGTCAACAGGAGGATGAGTCTAAGAGGTTTCAGACATGGAGGCTGATGGGATTCAGAGACATGCGGGGAACTTCCCTGGTGGTCCAGTTGCTAAGACACTGTGCTGCCCATGCTGGGGACCCAGATTCGGTCCCGGGGCAGGGAAATAGATCCCACAGGCCACAACTAAAGAAAGATTCTGCATGCCACAGCAAAGACCCAGCACAGCCAAATAATATTTAATAACAAAGGTGGAGCGACAGGGACAGTGTTGGATATAAAACCACAGTCCAGGCAAAGGTGTGGTGTGCTTGAAGGAGGCTGCTGTGGCTGGAGGGGACACCGTGGAGGGAAAGAAGGCTTGCAGTGCAGGAATCAACTCCTTCAGAGCCCTGCTCAACTCACCCAGGCCAGAAGGGTCTCCTTCTCAGCCACGTGGTAGATGAGGCGCAGTGGCCGGGAGGTGCTGTGCAGCCGGGCGTGCAGGCGGTGGTACAGGTCAGACAGGCGCTGTCGCTCCTCCTCTCTGCTGTAGGGGGCCTCCAGCTCGGGGCTGCAGTGACGGAGGAGAGTGGGGGATTGGGTCAGTCTATAGCTCTCTTGGCTGGCCCATCTCCCCTCTGTCTAGGGAGTTCAATAAAAGTTAGGGAGCTAAGCCTCCTCCCCCATTAGCCTGGAGGTTTTTTAGGGCCTAACCTTCCCATCAAACATGGGGATTCCTGGAGTCCTGGGGAGTTCCTCTCCATCAGGACAGGGGACTTCTGGAGGCTGGGACTCCCACAACAGGCAGAGACCCATTCTACTGCATTTCTAGACAGCACGGCCGGCTCTGTCTCCAGAGTCTTGTCTGTTGAGCGGCTGAACCTTCCAGTTAGATAAGCCTCCCCACCCAGCCAGTTGCACAGGGGCAGAGCCCACCTGGTAAACTGGGGCAGCTGGCGGTGATGGTCAGGGATGTCCAGTGGTTTATAGAGGAAGTGCCGGAGGCCGGGAGCGCCCACAGCCTGCACACTGTAGGCCGAGGCACTGGCCGATGCAGCATTCGAGAAGCTGGCAGCCTCCCTGAGGGCACGCATGGCTCCAAGCGAGTGCATGCCTTCTTCGACCAGGCGCCGGCAGGTGGCCATGTCATGGAAGGCCTCGGGGTCGGTGCCCAGCAGCAGCAGGCAGACGGGCATGGCGTCCAAGCGGGCCACGTAGGCGTAGAAGAAACCATCAGGATTGAAGCGAGGCAGGCACACGGGTGCCCAGGCCTCGCCCGCAGCGAAGGCCGGCGCCCCCACCCAGTCCAGCAGCAACTGCAGGTCGGCGGGGTCCAGCCGGCACTCGGCCAGCACCGTCCGCTCCTGGGCGGCTGTCACCAGGCGACCGCCCACCGCCAGGACCGAGAGGGCCAGGCCGGGCGCCGTGCAGCGTCGGAGCAGCGTGCCCAGCGCATCCCGCAGCGGGCGAGCCAGAGGCACGCAGCGCACGGCGCCCAGCAGCAGGGCCCCCGGGTCCCGCTCCACGCTGTCCAGGAGTCGGTCCAGGGTGCGCTCCGAGCCGGCCAGCAGGCGGCGGAGATCGTAGTTCTGCTTGCGCGCAAAGATGCGGGCCACACTGGCGCGCGTCAGGGTGCTCACGATCTGTGCGTGCACGGCCAGCAGCTCCCCGCGCAGCTGGGCGGCTGACTGAGGAGTCCTTGACACGGCCACCAGCAGCAGCGGGCCCTGCTGTAGGAACACCAGCTTGTGGTCCTCTGGGGGAGGGGAGGGACAGTCGAGGGAGATGGGTCAGTGGTGACACGAGGGCTCACGTGGGGCTCTTCCACTCTTCCCCCTTAAAGGCACACACAACTGGTCCAAGCCCACTCTGTCACTGCAGGGGCACCAGGGCTAGGGTAAGGACAAACTGGGGTAGTTGGGACATGTGCAGAGATATGATGGGATGGTCAAGAATCAGGCATACATCATGCAGTGGGGAAGATGGAGAAAGGAAAACTAACAGAGGTAGAAAAGCACCCAACTCACACAGCCCCCACCCTCAGGCTCTCAGGCAACAAGGAAGTATCCAGCCAGTTACTTACATCCCAGTGAGCTGATCAGTCAGAACTCAGCAGGGTAAACGGACAGATAGGCCCCCTGGACAGATGCCTGGCCAGCTTCCACACACACTGACTCACTCCTAACTAGCTCCATAGTCCCCTAGGCAGGCAGCCAGCCAGACAGCCCTCCAACAGACAGCCAAGGTCCCAGGCACTGTCGCCTGCCTGCTTCCTGCCCTCGTGCTCACCAGCATAGATGGCGCGAATGGCATCTCCTGCGCTCTGCACGAAGGACACCAGGGCTGTCATCACACCCATGGTGGTCGACAGGGCTTCCACGCTGCCGTACCTCGAGTAGATGGGCTTGCCGGCCTCACTCAGCACAAACACGTGCTTCCGTTTGCTGCGCCAGTCCTCATCGCTCGGGTCCCCACCCGGGCCCCCTAAGCCAGTCTCAGGGCAGCCCAGAGGACTGCCCTCGGAGGCCGCGGGGCTCCAGAGCCCACAGGTGCATGATGGAGCCTCTGACTGGAGCAGCAGGCTAGGTGACTGGTCCTTGGTCTTGGATCCTGAAAGGGAGCCTCCAGTAAGTCATCTGCCTGTGGACCACCCCCCAACCCCATGTGTCCACAGAATTACCAAAACCCGAGCAGCCCTGCAGTGATCCCTGCCACTGACATACACCTCCAGGTGTCTCCTCTGCCCCTCAACGACATCTACTAACACTTAGGTTTCAGTGACCTCCCCTGCAAAAACTCCAATAAGCCCATCTAACTTTCATTACTGAACCCTCTATTTCCCTACCAAATAATTATTCCCCTTTCAATAACTGCTATTCCCAAGTTTGTAAAGCACCCCAACACCTGTGAATAATCATCAATATCTTCATCTTCAGTGAACCCCCATTTAATCTGACCCCTCATTTACTCTCCTGATATCTGCTCATTACTTAATGGCCTCCATTATACCTACTAACAGCTGTATCAGCAGTTATGTGCACCCCTCACTACCCTAACCCCTTATTTATTCTCACTGATGTCCACTGATCCTAACGACACTATTGACTCTCCTGGTCACCCATTTATATTCTTGGGGAAGACCACTAATTCTCCCAAAGACTGCCATGATTATCCACTAACATCCAGATCTTTAGCACTTCCCCAACTTCCTATTTGCTCCCACTGCTGCTCAGTAACATTCCAGTGACCCCACGTTAACATAACTAACACCTAGATCTTCAATGACCTTCAGTGACTGCCCCAACCCACAATTTAATCTACTCCACGTCCACTGCATTCCCAACAATGACCACCATTGACCTCCACTAACAGCCAAGGCTTCCAATGACCTCTACTGACTTGCCTAACCTCTATTCTCATTGATATGACTCCCCTCTATCCTCACTGATATCCACCCCCTCCCTACAATAACCACCGTAAAAATATACACTAACACAGAGGACTTTAATGACCTCTATTGCCCTTCCCCATGACCATCATTAACATTCAACAGTGAAATCCACAATTTCATTGCCCTCTACTGACTACCCTCCCATTTATTTTAGTCAATGTCCACTGATCCCCACTGACAACCCTATTATCCACTGGCAACTATGTATCAATACTTTTCCCATAAAATCCCAATGACCTCATATTCCCTGCTCTCTCAATGACAGTCCCCAATTACCTCCTCCCAATACATGCAAATTCTTCCCAAGTTCTCAAAGACAACCACCCTTACTGATTTTCAATAATGTTCAATGATCCTGCCCAACGACCCCATCAACATCCACTAATTCCAAAGTTGTCAATGAGCACTCATTCCCCAGTGATTTCTGCTAATCCTCCACTTTATACCACTACCTATACACTGGGGTCTTTAAAGATCTTCCTACTGGTCCTCTGACTCTCTAATTGTCTCACTGATGTCCACTGTCTCCCCAACAATGATCACCATTAAATCCACTAAGATCTGGCTCCTTAAAGATTCCCTCCAACAATTGCCATCAACTCCTCAAAGATGTAAATACTCTTGAGTGTTCACTGGCCTCCACAGATCCCCCTTCCCACTTCAGTAATTTAAAGCCCCCAAACTAACTTTAAAGCTCCCCAGACTAACTTCTAAATAGTCCCCCTTTGACCATATTAGGGCTTCCCTTGTGGCTCAGCTGGTAAAGAATCCACCTGCAATGAGGGAGATCTGGGTTCGATCCCTGGATTGGGAAGATCCCCTGGAGAAGGGAAAGGCTGTCGGGAGCCGCCAGGATGTGCCCAATCCATGACAAGGTCACAGGACGAGAGAGGAACCTGCAAGGCAGCTCTTCCCCTCGGGGTTGTCTGGGGGGGCCTGGTATGTCCCTTTCCTCTTTCTGTCTTACTGTTGTTGGGCTTTCTATTAATTTTTGGAAATGTAATATATAGTGATCAGGCCTCCCTGGAAAAGTCCAAGCCTATTTAGAAATGCTTATGATTGCTCTGGCTCAGGATACGACCATAAACATCAAGTCAAAAAGGAAAAGGCCACAGGCATAGTTTGGTTGCTTGCTTAAAAGATTATAATGTTCTAGAATAGAAAAGAGTAGAGGCATTTAGATTTAGAAGTAGATGTACTGCTCCAGTTTACCTGCTCCTTGGTTGAGAGGGTTTTCATTATTGCTATTTCCTTGCTATTTGTCCATTGTTTCCCTTCCTTTAAACAACATGGAATATTATGGGTATTTTTGTAGAGTTAGGAAATGTGTTACATAGGATTTCAATAGAAGATTTATATTAACCAGCTTCACTGCCATTACCTCACTATTAATAGAGGTGTTTTGCTGCTTCATAGTTAATCATTGTAGACTGAGGTTTTGTAGTTTCAGGTAAAGAAAAATATGAGGGTACAGTACATATGGTACTGTTCTCAGAAATGTCAAACATGTTTGTGTAGCCCTTCCCATGTATTGTTTTATTGTCCAAAGAATTCATAACATACCTGAAATTTGTGGAACATTGTTTTTGTTAGAGTGAAAATGTTAGGCCATTGAGGCAAGAAGACTAATGTACGGGGCATTCAAGAAAAAACCCTGTAATCGGAAATGTTCCAGACAAATACATAGGGGAAAAACATGGGGAAGAAAATATTGACAGAAGCACAAAACCAATATCTGATGTAATATGTGGTGACTTAAGGGGGAGGTAATGTTCATTCTATAAAAACTGAGCTGTCCTAAAAATAAAAAAAGCTTTTTCTTCCACGTAACCTTCTGTGTGTGTCTGTCTCCTTCCTCGCCGACGCCACTCATCCCTTGGGTACTCCTGGACCCGCTGGGCTGGACTCCAGCAAAAGGCTACCCACTCCAGTACTCTGGCCTGGAGAATTCCATGGACTCTATGTTTAGTCCATGGGGCCGCAAAGAGTCGGATACGACTGAGTGACTTTCACTTTCCCTGACCATATTAACTTTCTTTTGGTCATCATTGATCTAAACAGCATAAACCCCCAGGGTCCCTCTCTAATCCCAATGGATCCCTTTCTGATTCTTCAATGGCCTATGTTCACACCACCTCCCCAGCGAACATCCATTGACACTCACTTATTTCCTTTTCACTCCTCAATTATTTAAACTACAACTTGAGCCCACAATGACTTCCCACTGACCCAAAGTATGGTTTAAACTACTTCCCCGAGTCCCAAAGACTCCTCTTTGGGCCCCCAAGAACCTTCCCCAAGAATAACACCTCCTAGGAATTCCTTCCAGGACCCTAGTGAAGGGAATGTATACCTGCTTTCTCCAAGCTTGCATCTCCAGGATCGGGTAAGTCCCTGTGAACCCCTCCACCGTCTTCAGCCTCCTCACTGGGGAACCGCATCTCCTCCAAGTCCTCCGCATCCCCAGGGGCTGGGGCAGCAGTGTCTCCTCCGGCCTCCATCTGCACATCCCTGTGGGGGAGGGGGGATGGAGGGTGACCGGCAGCAAAAGAAACTTCTTTAAAGCTTTTACTCAGCCTGGCCTCCTTGCACACACTCCCGGGGCGTTTCAACAGGATGAAACATTCAAAAACACGACCACATACTTGCAGCCTCCAACACTTCCCGCAAAGGAAGGCTCTACCGCCTTAGCAAATAAAGATATACAAACACCTGTTTTAACTCTGCATCTCAATTGGCCAGGTACCATTAGTTCCCGTAGTACCGGAAGCACCACACTTCCGGGTGTGGCTGCCGTCCCGCCACACTTCCGGGTGCGACGCCGCTCGGAAGCTACTTCCGGTTGCGGAGCTTTAGTCGCCCTCCGGGCGCCCTACCCCTCCTTCCTGCCGCCCACTCGTGTTCCCTTACCGTTGAAGAGGCCCGCGCTGCTCCTGGGTCTACGACGGATCTGGCCGGCGCGGACTGCACTCACTCCCACCGCGAAGGCACGTGTGGCTACAACTGGGGTGAAATGGGCCCACTTCTCCTGCGAAAGCCGCCGGCGTGAGGGGGGCGCGGCTCGCGCTCAGCCAATCCGGAGTACGGAAGGCGGACTGCCTCGCCTGTGGCCCAATATAGCGAAGCCGGTCCCTCAGGTCATCCCGCCCCATTCAGTCTGTGAAGTGTCTCCACAGAAACCTTGCGTCAGGTCGCTGTTGGACCCGCCCATCCCTTGACTGACATTTCTCCGGACCCAATGGAAGGCTGGGGCCTATTCCTCTCTTCGCTGGAGGAAGCTCGCAGCCTGTCTTGATAGATGGGGCGCGCCAGAATGGAGGAAACTTCATCCTCCGTTATCCTCCAGGAAAGGCAGGGGCAGGAAGGTGGAGTGGACACTGGACAGAGAGAAAATGCTTGACGGACAGGGGCCGCCCGCAATCGGAGTGCCGTGAGCAGGCTGGCCAACTTAAGGGGTTCGGTTGCTAAGGTGAAAGGCGGGCGTCTCAGAGGCAGGAACTTCTCGTGGGTTTCTGGGGATTTAAGCAGCTTAAGGGCTTGGCGGCCTCTGGAAAAAGGGAAGCTCGTGGCGCAGAGGGGTGAGTTTGCGAAGGCAATGTGTAGGCTGACCAGGCCCTGCCCAAACTCGCGAAAGGTGGAGCTGACCTCACTTCCAAGGATGGGGCTCTGTGGGTGAGACTATGCAGGTTAGGAGCCCAGGCCTAACCCGGGCGCTTGTGGGCGTGCCTTTGGCAGACTCCTGATTCCTCCTTGACCTCATCAAAGCTTGATCATCACCTTCTTTGCTGGCTGTTTTGCAGCTTTGGCAACTAACCAGTCGCCCTCTGTTGTATGAGTTTTACCCTTTTGGTGGCCTTATGGCCACTTGGGAGGGCTTATGGACCGCTTCTAATAGTGACAGGATTTCAGAAGCATGCTTTCTGTCTTAACGGTTTGACTGAGGAGCCCCTATTCTTTCCAGATTGCCCGTGAGTGTGCAACAGGGAGAATGCACAGTGAGAGTGTGTGTGTTTATTTACTCCCTTGTCTTCAGTGCTTAGTAGGGATTTTGTCAGAGCGATGATTTCTGGTCCATGAAGCTGCTTCCATCCCTGATCAGTCCCACATGAGGTTCAGTGGAGGGTTGGTCCGTTAAGTTCCATCTGCTACAGTACACTAGCGCAATGACGTGTAGGCAGTTGTGCATTGAGGGGTGTGAAGCATCAATCAGGAACAAATGTGGCTGGATTTCAGGCTGAAGTGACCTCTGGAAAGTCTTAAATTGGGATTGTCTCAGAGAATACTCCTGAATTCTCTCAGAAGTCAGCCAATAGCTCCCTCTTCGTTCCAGTAAAGAAAGGATGTGAGGAGGGACTTTCACAGTGGTGGATTGCCCCAGGGTAAACTTCTCAGCTTCCTGAAGCCTGTCACATGTAGCTGCTACAGCTGGACGGAAAGGGAGCCACCCCTTAACAGTCTATACCCGTTACTTTGAGAAGTAGGCAGGGGGTACTGACTACATTCCCCAGACTTGAATTAACACCCCCAAGACTCAGGCCTTGTCTCTTCTGGACATACAATTTGAAAGGTCAGGCTGAGGCTAACTTTGTTTTTATTGTTTCAAAGGCTGTCTGGTACTCTTTAGTCCAAGTAAGGGACTCAAGATCATGTCCGTTTCAAGCCTCATAGAAGAGTGTTCCTCTGAGCCCATAATTTGGGACCCAAATCTGAGAGAATCCTGCCATTCCCAGGAAGACCCCCAGGTGCCTGTGGGTCTTGGGTGTTCTTCAGTCTGAACTGCCCGTTGTCTGTTGGGCGAAAGGTCCCACTGTCCTTAGGAAAGGAAAAAGCCTGCATAGGTAACTTGTTGCTGACATGTCTGGGCCTGTTTCTTGGAGACCTTATGTCCATAATTGGCCAAAGAGTTCAGAGTTCTGATGGTGTTTTGTAGACCTTTCTCGTATGCAGAGCTCGCTGTGAGCAAATTGTCCACATATTGGAGTAAGAGTCCTTTGACCAGTGTTAAGTTTCCAAGGTCCCTAGCCGAGGTTTCCCCAAAGCAGTGACCCAGTGAGGCAGCTCCTGCCGCTCACTCCTTACAAAATCAGTGCTCACAAATGTTGGTGGAGAGAAAAAGTGCTTTTAATCAGAATGGCAGCAGTCTGGGGAGAAGGTGGACTCAGCGTCCCCAGGAAGCCACTTCTGAAGATTCTCTTCAGCCCTGAAAGTTTTGGAAGGGAAACGGAAGTAATCTCAGTTCATCACTGAGGTAGGGAGTAAGAGTCTTGGCCGTCCCACTGTGTGCAGGCTTGTGGACTCCTCGTGATCTTCCCCTAGATGTTAATCTTGCTCACACAGTGTGTTCAGACTACTGGAGGGGAAGCTAGGGAAGAGATCTGGTCACCTGTTAACTACTTATTCTTCCTGTCTACTGCTTTGATCTATGGAAAGAACCAGCAAGTTAGGCAAGGTATTGTGAGATTAAAAGATTTGAAAAGTATGCTTGGGTTGGAGTTGAGAACAGGGGGGTGCCTGGCTTAAAAGTGAGTTACAATATAGCTTTGCTAAGGTGGCAAGAACGGGGGCTTCCTCCTGAGGGCAGTTTCCTGCAAAAGAGCCACTTCCAGTAGGGGAATTCTTAAATCCTTGATGGAGGTCTGTCTAAGCACACTGTTGAACTACCTGTGTTTCTGGGTCCTGTCATGTAAAAGCAAATAGCTCAGGGGAGAAAGAGCTCCATCTCCTTTTCTGAGGTTTTCATGAGCACCATCTCTAGGCTCAAAGCATGCTCTGGTGGGTGGGCCCCTGATGTCAAGCTGTTCTGGCAAAAATGTTACTTGAGCTTTTAACTTACAAAGGAGATTCTGTCCCCAAAGAGGGATTGGACACTCTGACATAGCATAAGAAACTGTGTCCCCTAGTTGACATTCTGGAGATTCTAAGGATGAATGATTTTGTGCTTCTTCAGAGACCCCTGTGATTGGGGTGAATTGAGATGTTTTCTGTGTCAGTTTGGTGCTTACCACAGAATATGTTGTGCCTATATCTATTAGAAAGTCAATCAACTGGCTCCCCGTCAAAGTTGCCTGGGGCTCCTGTGGAGAAATTGGAATTGCATGCCTCTAGTTAAAGGGAGCCCCCCTTAAACACAGATCTTGTGTTTACCATGAGTGTTCCTCTCTTTCTACCGTACAGGAGGCTCCTGGCTTCCTTTTATTGTTTTGTTCCTGTGTTCTAGCCCAGGGCAATCTTTTTTCCAGTGCCTTTCCTCCTTACAGTAAGTGCATCATTCCTTCCCCAGTGGTGACTTACCTCTCTCCGAGTTACACACTTTCCAGGAATCCAACGCTGCTGCCAGGAAAGTGGTGGTCCACTTTGCATCTTCTTTCTTCTGTTGTTGTTCCCTGTTGTTGATCATGTTAAAAGCAACATCTACCAACTGAGAAGCATTCATTCTAAATGCACCATCTGAATTTTGTAATTTTCTTCTTATATCTGGGGTAGTTTGTTCAATGAAGGTCATATTTACTGTCCTGATATTCTCGGGGGCCTCAGGGTCTGCGTTCCTATAGTGCCTATGAGCTTGATAAATTCTTTGACTTTGTGTGCATGTGTGCATGTGTTTGCATGTATGTTCAGTCATGTCTGACTTCTTGCTACCCTATGGACTGTAGCCCATCAGAATCCTCTGTTCATGAGATTTCTTACAGGCAAGAATACTGGAGTGGGTTGCCCTCCCTCCTCCAGAGGATCTTCCCAACCCAGGAATTGAACCTGCATCTCCTCTGTCTCCTGCACTGCAGGCAGATTCTTTATTGATTGAGCTGTAACTCTGATGGAGCCTCATTAAGTTTTTGTTGTATCCCCTAAATTTTGTTTAAGCTCTTTTGCCTAGGTATACCCTTTCAAAAACCTGCTAAGATACACTTTCTATAATGCTCTAGGTGTGGTATGCCTCCATTATTAGGATCCCAGTTAGGCTCAGCAATTCTGTTGTTTTGTATTCGGTCATGTCTGATTCTTTGGGACCCCATGTACTCACCAGGCTCCTTTATCCATGGAATTTTCCAGGCAAGGCCTGAAGTGGGTTGCCATTTCCTCCTTCAGGGGGATTTCCGACCGAGGTTGAACCCGAGTTTCCAACAGTGGCAGGTGGACTCAGCCACTGAGCCACCTGGAAAGCCCCAGGCTCAGCAATAGAAACTGCCAGATTTGCTTCAGAAGATCCATCTTCAGAAGCACTAGATGGAGCTGGTGTGCTTCCTCTGTGAAAAGTGAAAGTGAAGTCGCTCAGTCCTGTCTGACTCTTTGCAACCCCAGGACTAGCCTGCCAGGCTTCTCAGTCCATGGGATTTTCCATGGAATTCAGGCATTTGAATCAGTTCTGATGAGGTGGATGAAACTGGAGCCTATTATACAGAGTAAAGTAAGTCAGAAAGAAAAACACCTATACAGTATATTAATGCATATATATGGAATTTAGAAAGATGGTAACAATGACCCTATATGCGAGACAGCAAAA